GCAATTGTAAACATGTTCTTGCTAGCCTAATATGAACCACTAACTGTTGTTCATAGTAGGTTGGCATATTACACTGAACAACTAGCAAACGTAGGTTAGCATATTAATCTAGCTGGCAAGCTAACGAACCTAAAACAACTAAGTTTCTCTAATATTTTGTGATTTGCATTTGATTTCGTCCAGCCAGATCAGGAAACTCCTGGCGTATCCGGCGGACAACACATGACGGGATGACCACTCTGATGCCTTGTCTTAAAAAGCCCCAGCACCAGCTTACAAAGCTGCGATAGGCAAGATGCCGAAAACGCCTATAAGGGGAGGAGTATACCTCAACAATGGAATTATGATCAGTAGAAATGGCCATGACATGGGACCTTTAAGACACTTACTAAATAGCTTAGTGTAAGCTGCTAATTACCAAACAAAGCACAAAATACAGGTCAGGTTGATGAGAAATGCATCAGTTTTGCAGTGCAGGTCTTAAACCAAAGCACTGGACAAATTCAAGTTTTGACTCATTAATAGCACTAGATGATAAATAAGGGGATGGTAGATGATAAATAAGGGGATCACCAAAGTAATTACATTGATCCAGAGGGGAATGTATCAAAGTTCTGTAATGTATTTCCATGGCCAGCAACTAGTTGTTGGGACATTTCAGTCAAAACCACCAATGTCAACTTCATAGTTGCGGGAAAAATCAGGGAAACCAAAGTCATAAACACTTATAATATAGGAACATGAATGTCTGTATAATATTGTCAGGGGATCACTTAAGTCAGAGATATTAATCCTTTGTGTATTATGAATGTACACATTTCGATATCTAAAGTTGAGATATTTCAGTCCAGCCCACAGCATGGGTTTAAACACAACATTGTAATGTTACCCGAATCATGGGGACTGGTGGAAACTGTGAGCATCTCCCAAACAAGGAGTCAGCTTTACAACTGGGTGGGATGGTGGAAATCCTGCGGTGTGGCAGGTAGACACACTGACCTCTTGTGCCCCAGTAGAGTTTTTACCCATCGCTGTGCCAAGGTCAGGCTCAAGCAAGAGCAGGAAAACCCCAATCTCCACCCTGCTACCTCATCACTGCCACCAGCCACACAGGAACACTGTGCACTCTGTGCAGCAGTGCAGCCAAATATAAAACCACTGGCAGAGATTCAGTGTATATAATCATAAACTCCTGCTTATTTTTTCCATGTGGAATTTCGGATAATTTCACGTTTAAAAAAGTGTCATTGACCACAGTTATTTGGCTTAAAATAGAAAGCACGCATGAATAACTGGGTCTACATGGCAGTGGAAATGTTCTGCCAGGTGGTACCACTTATTTTTTAGGACAGACGGAAGAGGGATTTACGGCCATCTCGCAGTATATGAGCGACCCCCAGCAGAACACAAAAGAGGTCCAGACAAAACATCAAACCAACTGTAAAATATGTCATTAGGGTCTTTGTCTTTGTGAAGTATTGACCCCGATCGTCCCGGTAATTCAAATAGTTTTTCGAATAGGTCCCGGACACTGACAAGATGGCCTTTTGTGAGGCCCAGCTGTGGGGGGCATATAGGGCCTGGGCTGTTCTTTCTGAAGAAGACATGGCTTGTAATGAGCTTGTCAGAGGCCATCTCTTCTTTAGAGAAAGCAGTCTGCATTACACAACCACAGCAGAGTAATGAGGCTTCACAGAGAACACCATGTACTTCTTCATCATCACAAGACCCCTCTTGGAAAAGTGGGTCTTCATCGTTAAGGTCAGTTATGCTTCTTAAGACAATGAGACGACAAAAGATGTATAAAAAGAAACCAGCTGGTGCTGAGGAAAGTCCTAAGAAAGCATTTTAATTTATGCAACCTTTATCGTTTCATTTAAAACTGAGTAGTTATGTTATACATGACTGCATTTTCCATACTGTAGGACAAGTATATGTGTTGGAGAAAAGCCCGCCTCACACAAAAGGAGATCAGACAAAAGCTGTCTGGTAACCTTAGACCCCTTAACTGTGTAGGATTCCTCGCCATCAAACTCAATGCAGCATAATGAGCGCTTTAAATGCAGCGTGTTCCCTAATGTCTGCTGCATCCTGGTGACCCTCCTAAACTGAAAGACAACTGGGTTTGAGAACAAATCTTAAAGGAAACCATCTTTACTTTTGCACTGTAAATCAATGACATTGAACTACTGAAGTTACTTGGGATAATGAAAAATGTACATATAAGGGGTCTGTGAGTTGTCTCAAGTACATTGTTTTCCTTAAAAACCCATTGCTTTGGAATTTGTTTTTCAAATGTACATTGCTTTATTACGTCAAGAACTGCAAATTAACTTAACTAACAGGAAATATATCATCAGGAGACCCAAATGAAGATGAAACTATCTTCTTGGGTAGTTTTTAATTAGGAGAACTTGCACTTGAAAATGTTAGAAAATAGTAGTTTGCTAAAATGTATATGCAATCCACTGGTACTGAATCTGAATTTAACAAAACACAGTTTTTTAAAAGCTATGGCCACCAAACATCATGACAAACATCATAACGTAAAATAAAGCAACATTCTTGCATGGCTTAAAATAAGATCGAAGACCTTACTAGTAGGTGAAGTTCATTTAGGCTGCTAACAGAATTGATTTTCCTACCAAATACATTGTAGCTCAGATTTCAGTTCCTCTTACACTCAAATAATTAATCACACACACTTATTGCAAACGCTGAGATGGTGAGGCTTTCAGCATTACAGAGGTCAAGTGAGGCTGGCTTGCGCCTGTTTCTTTGTTTAGAATCTGCAGCAGTGTTTCCCCCTTCACTTAGATAGCGGTGTTTGTCTGGGACTGACTGGGCTGGAATCTATTCTCTCCTGACTCTGCTCGTAGGGGCTGAAGGGAAGCACACTGCCAGAGTCTGGCTCTATGAAAGCACTGCAAGGTTGGCTGAGGCAGCCTGGTTGAACTCAGATGACCCACATTCTGGGACTATCCAATCGAATAAGCAGAAAGAGCCATTATTACCAGAATTCATGTGACACAGACCAATCAAGAAGCCTGACGCGGGAGCATATCCAAACAGAGAGGCGGGCGAAAGGAAACGCTTAATAGGCAAAGAGACAAGGGCAGGGCTTATGGGGAGCAAAAAAACCTGCACAAAAAACACATGGTCGGGGCTGGGGGGGCGAGCACAGGGAGCACTGCTGCAAGTTTGGCTGAGACCAGGCAGCTGAAGTGAGATGACTCACGTTCTGTGAATATCCAATCAAATAAGCAGAAATTGTGCTCATTATCAGAAATGTTAGTGTACAAACCAATCAGAACCAAACACAGGACTGTATCCCAAAAGAAAGAAAATGCTCAAAATAAATAGAGGCAATAGAAGGGCTGATATACTGTAACTGCACATAAACACACAGAGACAAAGGCATTTTATTTCCTCAAGGAAGCCAATAAGGTTGATCCTGGAGCATTATTGACCTACTTTATGTACATACATAAGTCAAATCAGTGTCTTATCCCTGATTTTCCCAAATACTGATAGACACCACTGCACCAAGATGAAGCAGATGAACAAACGGTTGTGTAATTCTTAATAATAATTAATCCAACTGGACTTGAATACAACAAAACCAGTAGGAATATCCAACGTATTCAATGGAATTTACCATATAACAGGCCTATGGTGTGTACTTTCAGTTTTATAGTTTAATCACATATGGCACCCATATGAAATTCTTCTAAAAGGATAATACATCTAGTGATAAAAGGACACGAACCAATCAGAAAGCCAGACAGGGGAGTGTATCCTGATACAAAGGCAGGCGGAGAGAAAGAATAGACAATGAGACAAGAATGTACCCCTGTAAGCATGGGTAACACATTTTACTGAGACAAATGAGGGGTGAATTGTGCAGAAAAAGGGGGGCGTGTTGCTCAATGTGTATTTTCTTGCATAGGTTTATTTGAAATTAGAATGTTCCATGACTCAAATATGGGTCAAGCTCACACCAGGCTTTTCTTATGTGATCCAGAGAGAAGTGTTTCTGGGCTGTCAGGATGATGTGTGTGTGTATTATGCGTGTGAAGCATGGAGCATAGCGATGGGGAGAGGGAGTGAGAGCTGCAGTCTACAGAGCAGAGGGGAGGAGAGGAGAGGCTCCTCAGTCGAGGCTCAGCTAGCTGAGTCTGTTGCTGGCCAGATCAGCTGGCAGTCTGTCTAGCGGGGGTGTGGCACATCACAACAAAGGGGCTTTGGGCAGACAGGCGACCGCACGGCACATATCAACCCCCTCAATTTGAGTCGATCTACATCTTTCCCCCCTCTCAGTAGCCTATCCTGAGGAATGCAAAGCCCATATGGAGGTATGGTCCATCAAGAGTCAGACGTAGCCTAGGCCTACTGCTGATCTGGAGCGCGTTTGATAGCCCTTCTCTGGATTGATCTGGAAAACTTTTTGCATGCTTATTCTGTGATGTGCGCATTGCGTGGTTTTATTTTACCTGTCGCCAACGTTTACTTGAATGCGCGCAGAAGAGAAGTGGAAACCCGATCTGTGTGATTTTGTTCTGCATGTGCACTGCAGTTTCGCTTTGTACCCGCTGTCCAATGCAGGGGGAAAGAGAGGAAAGCAGTGACAAAGCTCCGAGGCTTGAGTGGGAGTGGCACTATTTTTTGACTCCCTCCCTCCCTCACCCGAAATTAAAAGGACATTTCGCAAAGTTCACACAACTTAAAGGAACAATGCTAAATATGTAACTATGCACCAATTCTGACTTTAAATACTGCGTGTGTCAAAAATTCCCATTTGGGTGGACTCGTGATTTTTTTGTACACATATGACTCGAGGAAACCTAGCAGTCAATCAACCCAAATACAGCTTTCATTGTAATAGAAACCACACTTCTTATCAGTATTCTCAGTTTTAATAATCCATTCTCATAAAGGCATGGGAACTACAGTCATAGTCATATTCACAGCATAAAACATTTGCATCCAATGAAACTGACCTGTATGTGTCCTTAGGTGGGCTTTGAGGTGGGATGATTTGCCATAAACTTTTTCACAACCTGAATAGTGGCATTTGTGCTTTTTCTGAGGTGATTCTTGCTCAGTTCGACCTCGCGATCTTTTGCCTCTTTGTTTGAGCGAAGGATCGGAGATGGTGGTAGGTGTGGCAGAGATTCCATCATCTATGAGGTTCGGCATGCTCTCATCCTTTATTTTTGCCTGCTCGGCAACATTGTTGGGAGTCTGTTGGTTAAAATCCGCCAGAATCCGTGCCACCACAAAAAGAGAGGAGTTGTCTTTCACCAAAGGTTCTTTAATTTCCTCTCCGTTCCTGGAGGAGGACGGGGTTTCTGGTTTAATCTCCCTATTCCCTTTTGGAGCGTGAACAATTGCACGACTGGACATTGAAACAAGGCACTCTGCTGCAAAGTGATCCATTTTGTCTTTGAAACAGCCCCCTCTGCTTCTTAATGACATTCAAAAAATAAAAAAATGATTCCGTGAGAAAAACAACTTGTTCCGTGGTTCCCTTTGTGTGGTGGTGGAGAGGAGGAGGAGGAGGAGGAGGTCGTTCTCATCAGAGAGAACTGACTTTATGATCTTACCCGGCTTTCCAATATCATCAACATCCTGCGAGAGAAACGCCTCGGACAAAATGCAGACAAGCCCACTCGGAGCAAAAGAGAGATAACCCCAGAGTATTTGTTTAGTGCAACAACGCCGGTGACAGGACCTGTACAAAGTTGGATGTGTTAACTCCCATCGCGGCTTCACACACTCTCCAGCATAGTGAGTGTCTCCTGAGCGCCAGTCCTTCCTGCTGCTTGTATCCATGCTGGGGGCGTGTCGGCCGGCAGCGCTCGGTAGCTCCGTCAGAGGAGAAGCTCATTCATTGGGTGCAGCTTGTCCCCAAATGCACCGAACAACACGAGTTACTTGGAAGTTTCACCACAGGTTGCCTCCATGCATTCAGATGATGTATCTCACAAGCGACACAGTTATGCACTGCAGAGACCTTTAGGAAGAGCACATGCATTATTCTAGGGCTGGAGCATTCTGCAGCATCCTCTCCACGCCTGCATTCATGTACAGATGTTTTGTCTTATTTGACCCTCAAAAGATATATAGTGTATACTGTTGGTGATGGATGCAACTAATTATTCATTTGTCATTATTCTGCAAGTCAGGCAATTCATTGTGACACACTTTATTTTTATTTTTGAAGATTTTTTTTTTTAATGTATACTGTATTTTGTCCAAAAGTTCAAGGTATTTATTTTTCAATTATTTAAAACACAGAAGGCAAACAAATCCTTTGTCATTTTAGCTTGCAAATCTTAAGAAATAATTGCAATTAGGAATCTATATTCAGAATTGCTGCAGATTAATTTTCTGCTACTTGATTAGTCATCATTTTTTTAGGTCAAGCAAAAGCAAGTTTGGCTTTTTTAAAGGTATTAGTTGATGCAAGAAGTCGAAGAAGATATAAACTGTGTTGAAATAATACATTAGAACATTTCCTCTTTATACCCTGAATGTGCAACACTTTTGACTTGTGCAACCTGATGAGGGGAATCGCAATAAAACCATACTGATTAACCCTGTAACATGTAATCCAATCACACATGACGTTACAAGAAGTTACAAAATATATTTTCAAAAGCAACTGAGTTTGGGTCTGCAAAATGGACTGCAGTTCATCATCAACAAGATGTCCCTGATACTGATATTATTGTGTTAGCTTCTTGGAGCGATCAACACACTGGGGCCTCAGGCCAACCAACCAATTGATGCCCCAGCAAAGCGTGTGAATGTTTCTTACTGCCAAATCTGCTAAAATTCCACATATAGGCAAAACAAATCTTCTACACAGCCTTTGTACAGTTTTGTTTTGAAGAGCTCAATTATTTTGAATACATAAAATACATATATGACGACAGATTTACAATAGCTAGATATTTTAACAACTCGAAAAAAACATTCATTAATAGATTTTTTGTGATTATGACCTATTTCGAGAGAGATATTCTGCTCATTGTAACATCTACAGCTTGTGCATTTCCTTTTAAAAGATGGCAGCTTCCTTTCAGCAAACTAGCAATTTACCTCAAACAATCCTCTGAGCAACTCGGTGGTCCCTGCCAATTGAAAGCCAGCCAGCCACCACAGGCAATGTCTTCTTCAATTTATCCTCCAGCGAGGGACAAGTGACACCATTGTGGGGAGGAAAGAGTCAAAACTGTGTGATATGGAGGTTTTGTTATTTTTAGGCAATCCTTCTGTTCATGATGCTAGTTTCACAGCTGGTCATTATCAGACGTTCAAAATAAATCAATAAAAGTTTTATTATTTTTTAAGTTAAGAGTTTTCTAAACACAGAAGCCAGTCGATGTGGAAAATAGAATATCGCCAGTTACAAAGTCCGGGCAGAATACAAACCAGCTGATGCTATTGATTATTAGCAAAGGACACGGATGAATGTCCTTGTTAACCCCCTGCACCTAAATTAACCCCAATGTTCCAGGAAAAAGGATGCAATTGCTTAACAAAATGTAGTACATAATGTTTCCAGTGAGCATTGTCTAGTCAATCACGGATTTTCATCTCTTATTTATCCAGCTTAAAGCTTAGCCCAATTAACAAAAAATAGGCAAGTTTAATTAAGTGTACTAATAAACTCGCACTCTGCCGATACAGGATCAGACCTGCTTTCCTGCCGCAGCTGATGCTCTCCTGTGAGAATGAATGCACACTTTCAGCACTGTGCACAAAAGCCCACACTAGAAAGTTCCCAGTGTTCAGCGTGAGCAAGGCGATGTGGCATTCAGAAGGCCATCTGGCTGTATTATTTTACATATTCTTTCACCACAAAACGTGGTGTTCTTGTGTTTCATGCGCTGCTTTGGCGAACTCTTAGAACGAGAGCACGACAAGAGGGCATGGTTCCTCTTTCACAGGGTTATTTCCCAGAGCTGTGTAGAAACGGCAAGTCTTTATCAACTCCCACTGGGCATCAAGCACAAGAAGGCCAAAAGAGAGAAGAGTGAGGAAATCAGCTGCAGCTTATACAAGCTAAACCTCTCCAAAGGTAATAAGCAGCTGTAGAAGTGATCATTTAAAACAAATATGAGAAATCTCACTCAGAGGAAAATGGTGAAACGTCTCTCCTTTTTGCTGCAGCAGCAATGTGATGATTCAAGAGACCTTTTGTATGTTCCCACATCCCAGCACCAACCCCCAGTGCACATTGTCCAAACAACACCATGTCTGGCACTCACATAACATTCTCAGGCAGGAACAGTGGTGTGATTGGTCTTTGAACTTCTGTTTGTAATGGGAGAGATCCTCTTTAAGCACAGGACAGCCTGACCAATATAACAATCTGGTTGGGGTGTCGTGTCAAGGTCAGACTCTTAAGGCAGGGAGAGAAAACAACAATGATCTATAAAAGCACGAAACACCACAAGTGGATATAAATTGTTGGCAGAGTCCTCTCTTCTCTGCAGTAGGTGGTGATGTTCAGTGGAGGCGTTGACCTTAGACTGACCTGAGTTTCTCCCCACACTGTCGTTAACTTTAGGCAGAGTATTTTTTTTTATTTTTTTTTATGTTAAACAAAGGAAACATAAACTCCCAGCACTTAATGTCCTTTCACATTCAAAACAAAATCAATTTTTTGAATTTGTAAAGTCAAAAAACAAAAACATTAATTTAGAGTACATTTTAAGAAGACTAATAGCAATGCTAGCAGCTCTGTGAAGCTTTGCTTGGATACTACCTTTTGTTTTGAAACGACAAAAGTTTGCATATTTGTCCGACAGTCTGTTACCCCAAAAACCAGTGGCCATTGCTTCAAAAATACACCCTGCTACTATGGTGAGGCAATTACCTGCCATACTCTGCCTCTGGTTGGCCAGCATCTGTTGCTTTTGTTGGTTGGATTGTTTAGGTTTAGGACTGAGGAGTGAGATTGGTTATTGTGAGGGTGAATATCAGAGTGTTATTCTCATCTAATTTTAGGAGAGAAAGCAAATAAGTGTAGGCCTGTGATCCAAAATGTGGAAATATTTGTTCAAGTTGCTATGAAAACCAAATGTAAGCTATTATTTTAACAAGACTCGAGGTACAGAAATGCTAGCAGATCTGTGAGGCTTTATTTGTGTAAAATTGTGCTTTAAGCTAAATGTTAACATTGTCAAATAGAAAATGCTTACATCCTAAAGATTAAAGTTATCATGTTCATAATCTGAAGTGGCCAAAGTTTAGGCCCAAACAAATGAAAAAATTGATGTTGACCTGTTGATGGTTTTGGATTAAAAATTAAATGTTAACCATTAGCATGGCAAAGAAATTGAAATATCCACTTTATTCATAAACCCAGATCATTTATTGACTAAGAATTTCCTTTTGGGAATGATTGAATCTAGTGCTGACATTGCAAGGTCACTCTGAACTTCCCTGAATCGAAAATGAACAAACGCTTATCAAACAGAAGAAGTAATAAACCAATTTAGGGTGTTTAACTGTTACATAACTGATACTGGCAATGTCATGTGTCTTATCTGTTGTTCAATTATGAGAAAACAATACAGATCTAACTTGTGGTTTCATGTTAATCAGAGACACGTACCTGATTCAAATAAATGTAAGTTATCTCAGTGGTAAGACCTGATACAGAATAAACGTTGCGGTTACTTATGAATAGTATGCTGTCTCTCTTCTTTGTTGTTGATCCACAGCTTGCTCATCCCCCAGTGACACATCAACAGTTGGGGCCTATGACTAATAATGTCAAAATAGGCTGCAATTTCACCTGTATAGAAAAACAGGATTAGTCAGACTGAAGATGTCTTACAGGTGTTAAAGAGTAGCAGCAGGTAGCCTACTAAACCTAACACCCATTCTTTTTAACAATGTAGCTCACATATGCTAGTGTTTCTAAAGGCTGCATGAAAAAAACTGTTCCTCGTTTCTTTGCTTTGGATGAAGAAGGAAAAGAACAGGTACAGCGTGTATGAATGCAGTAATCACATAAGGTCAATGAGTCAGTCAGGCGTAGCTGAGCTGAGTAAACAAGTCCAAACTACCTGTTGATGTAGGAAAAGTGTGACCTGGCTACACTTGTTACAGTGTCATTGGTCCTTATCTTCAAGACTCAGTACAAAAGTAAAAGCCACATAATTACTTTGCACATGTACAGATAAGATCGCATGTCCCTGTTCCTGTTGCATGCTATTCTCAACAAAACATCCATCTTTATTCAGTCAGGATTTATAGTGCAAAAAGGACAGTGTGTTCTCTTTGAGGAAAAATGACACCACCTCTCTCAGTAAAGACACACCATATGATGCAGTGAACTGTCCCGTTTTAGTCTCATACAATCAAAAAAGCGTTTGATAATTAATTGTTCTAGATCTGATTTTGCTAAGTTTACCAGGGGTAAGCTAAATGAAGCCTCATTTTTAATACAAGTAATCAACATTATGCTAAAAAAAACGAATTGCATTTTTTTACTGTGAGTTAGATAGGGAGCTCAATACAATGTTTCTGTCTGTTGGGCAACTATAAAGATACAGCCAGCAGCCATTAGCTTAGCTTAGTCTGTAAAAAAGGGTAATAGTGCTAGCCTGTCTCACTACAAAGGTAACACATTAGAACTCACTAATTCACACCTTTATATTTGTTTAATCTGTACAAAAACATGATACGAATCATCCGGTTACATCGCACGTCAATATATCTTTTGTCAACACATGTCATGAATACTTCTATAACAAACGTGATTAAGCGTCCTAATTGTGAAATGGTGTCATCCTTTTTCAACAACAACGAGCAAGTTTAGACTGGAAGGAAGAAGAGGAGGAAACATGGTAAACTCTTAGGTGCTCTCAGAGGCACCTTGCATGGAGGGGGTGGAGGCTGAAAGGAGGGGGTCAC